TATGCCAGGGATGGTAGGTAAGGTGTAGGGTAGGGATGGCAGGTAAGGTGTATGACAGGGATGCAGGTAAGGTATATGCCAGGGATGGTAGGTAAGGTGTAGGGTAGGGATGGCAGGTAAGGTGTATGACAGGGATGCAGGTAAGGTATATGCCAGGGATGGTAGGTAAGGTGTAGGGCAGGGATGGCAGGTAAGGTGTATGACAGGGATGGCAGGTAAGGTGTATGCCAGGGATGGTAGGTAAGGTGTAGGGCAGGGAGTAAAGTGCGTACAAGGTTGATAGGTTATGTGAGCTACACATACGTGTGACGCGTGACTCGATCGACTACAGGCAGTAAACGAGGAAGTCAAACTGGAAGAGAACAGAAAGAAGGGGTGTGAAGAGGAAAGCCAGGGGTAGAAGGAGGGACAGGCAACGAGAGAAAAAGAAGGCGTGACAGAGCACAAGCGAGCGAGCGAGCAAGAGAGAAGGACTGGAGAACAAGTGAAAGGAGAGAAAAATAGGGAGGGTGAGAAGGCAGAAAGAGAGACCAACACCACCGCCGCCGCCATCGCCACCGCCAAAAAAACAATACAACAACAACAACAACAACAACAAAACTACCGTCGTCATCATCATCACCACTACCAACAACAATAACAACATCAACAACAACACTACCATCATAATTATCATCATCATCATCATCATCATCATCATCATCATCATTATCATCATCACCACCACCACCACCACTAACAACAGCAACAACAACAACAACAACAACAACAACAACAACAACAACAACAACAACATTGCTGCCACCACCACCACTGCACTAGCACAGTAACTAACTATTAGCCGTGTTTCGGTAAGCAGGTGTCGGCACACACACACGTGCGTGCGTGTGTGTGTGCGTGCGTGCGTGCGTGCGTGTGTGTGCGTGCGTGCGTGTGGTTTTGCGCGCGCGCGTGTGTGTGTGTGTGTGAGTGCGTGCGCGTGCGTGCGTGTGTGAGTGCGTGTGCGTGCGTGCGTGTTAATTGCTCATGTCGCGTCACCGCGCGCGCGCGCCGTCTAGCCACCTTCCCTCCCGTTAATCCGCCGACAAAAACCACTGCTCTCATCAGATCATCATTGTGAAGCACGCGTGTGCTGTCACTCTTCTCTCTGCGACCCCTTCCCTCCCCCCACCGCCGGTGCGTGAGTGCCGCCACACTTCCCCTGCCTCCCCCTCCCTCTGCTGCTGCTGCTGCTG